ACTTTGTAGAAATATCAAGGCTCACTAAGTGTGATCCTAGAGAAAACCAACCCAGAGTATTTATTTCCCTTTATTACTTTTCTGTAGTGAATAAAATTGTGAAAAATAGAAAACTGATTACTGGAACTTCCATCCATTAAATCCTAGGGAAGCAAAATTTGTGAAAGTCCTGAAGCTTGCAAAGATCATTTATGCACTGCTGGCTGGAAACTGAGAACAGCATGGGGGTTCTTGGATCAGGAGTCCAGAGTTACCTTGGGACCTCTGGACTCCACAGGCTTCACTCGATTGCACTTGCTCTTTGGTTTGCTGAAGATAAAACTTCTTGACTCAAATGCAGAGTGCTGACCCTAGTAGCCTTCAGCTACCCCTTCTAAATGCAGACTCATACCTTTGGCAGTTTAACCTGCTCTACTTACCTCAAAATGAATTGTGGTTGTCTGGGCTTATTTTTCTAAGGACATATGTCATACTATAGGGGTTTTAATTGAGACCTTTAAGAAATTGACCATATTACTGTAATGAAATTCTCATTACTCTCTTTTTGTTTTTTAAAAATGATGATTAGGGGCCTGGAGTTGTGGTTTAGTGGTAGTAAGCTTGCCTGGCATGTGTGAGGCCCTGGATTCAATCCTCAGCCCTCATATAAATAAATAAATAGATAGAAAGATAGATAAATAGAAAGATAGATAAAAAATAAATAAAAGATCCATTGACAACTACAAAATATTAAAACAATCATGATTGATTGATTTTACAGATGATTAAGTGCATCATGTTTTGATCAGCTGACTTTTCTACATACAATATTGGCTTATCTTTGTTATTCATTTTCCCTATTAAAATCAATATTGTCATACTCAACTCTTCTTATGTGAATCAGCTAAGTGTGATTTATAATTTTTACATTTTTATAAGATTGGGATTATACTACAGATTTTTTAAATTATCTGCTATATCACAGTTTACCACCAGAGTATGTTAAATATAACAGAAATCCAATTGAAGAATTTTTAAAGACACACTTTTAATTGACCTATATTCTTATTATACTGTTAAATGAAATATTCTAATTCAATATCAAAATGAAATATATTTACTATGTTATTATATTCTGTATTAGTTTTCTGTTGCTGCATTAAAAATTACCATAAACTTAGTTGCTTAAAACAACATACATTGTTTATCTCTTCCTTCCCAGAGGACCTAGAATAGCTTAGCCAAGCCCTCTACTCAGGATCTCAAACAAGCTGTAATCAAGGTGTTGGCTATTTCGGGTCCTCTTCCAGAGGCACAGTTTGGGAAAATATACTCCCAAGATCATTCATGTTAAAGGAGAATTCATTTACTTGTGGATCTATGATGAGGGCCCTTCCTTTTTGCTGTCTGTTGGCTGGAAGCCACATTTAGGATGCAGAGGCCACCCACAAGAGATCAAAGTTAGATTCTTGATATTGCCCATAGTTTCTTTCTATAGGCTTCTTTAACACAGATGCTCACTTCATCAAGCCCTGAAAGAGTATCTCCCTAGTTCTTCTTCGTCAGATGAAGATGCACACATAGATACTGTGTACGTGTTTATCATAATCATGGATGTGACATTTATGCCATTCATCATCTTTGCCATTCTTTTGGTTCAAAGGAAGGCTCAGAGATGCCAGCACAAAAGGTGCAAAAGGTGGCATGGGTGATTGCTGGGAAACACAAAACTATGAACACTGGAAAGCAGAAAATCATTAGGGGCGGTGACCTTCTAGTCAGTTTGCCATATATGTAAAGTAAATCCAGTAAAATGTCTAAAATATATCCTTTATAGTCCCCAATCACCAATTTATTTGGAAACTTTTAATGATGTTGGCATTGTGAAATTCCAGTAAATGCTGTATGTTGATATAGGTTATACTATGCTTTATGATGTGCAAAGAGAACATTAAGCTCATGTAAGTTAAAAACATTATAATCTTGGTGTGGTGTCTTTCTTTCTTTTTTTTTTTCTTTTTTGAGAGAGAGTGAGAGAGAGAGAGAGAATTTTAATATTTTTATTTTTTAGTTTTCAGCGGACACAACATCTTTGTTTGTATGTGGTGCCGCACACATGCCAAGCGAGCTCGCTACCACTTGAGCCACATCCCCAACCCCTCTTTCTTTCTTTTTTCTTTTTTTTCATTTATGTGACTTGAATGAATTCAAACACTTGGTGGCAGTAGTAGCTCAGTCAAAATTCAGCCAGTAAGCATCCATACCCAAAGCAAACTATGACAAGTGAACTCCTCACTGAAAAATTTTATCACAAATTCCATTTTTAAAATATTCTATATGGACAATAGTAATTATCATTCTTATGGCAAAGTGAAATTGGGCATACCTATTAGATTTAAGCATTTTAAATTTGACTTTCAAAGAAACTAACCTCAGCTGATTAAATCTATAAATGAAATTCTCCAGAAAGAAATTTGGTATAAGTGATATATTTTGTTAGATAATGAAATTCGATAAATAATTTTTAGATCAACCTATGCAACTAATGCTGCTCTATGTGATACAAATATAAATAAGTGATTAGAGCATATTATCCATGGTCAGAGGCTTACCTTTTTCCACTGCAGCCCCATACAGGAGTTTTTAAAAAGGTTGGCCCCATCTTGTGGTCACAGAGACTAAGTTCAAGATAGTAAGCTTTTCTAGCTTTTCAAAGGTGAGCTAAGGAATTTCAAAATTTTTCATTTCTTTCTCTTGTTAATTTGGGAAGTAGAGGGGCTAGTTTGCAATACTATGAAGTGTTTTGTCTATCAGGGAACACTATTATGATATCTCCCACTAATGAAACATCAAATCATTTTAAGGAAAATTTTAAAGAGAAAGTTAGTTTTGTGATAATTACAAAGAGTGTTTTGACACCTTTAAAGAAAAATGAAGAGGTCAATTTTAAACTCGTCATATTACTGTGTGTAGGTATTATTTGCTGGCACCTTCTGATATTAGTAATCCTACAGCAACTCAAGATTTTCAGAGAACTGACAAAAATTATACTAGTTATAACACCTCAAAACCATGTGTACTCAGTAATGATTAGATAGAAATTGTAACCTGGACAAGTTTGCTTAATTTTAAAGTATAAAATATTCCGGAGCAGTAGAATGCACCTCCTCCCCTTGGAAAAAAAGTCTGCAATATATAAAGGAAAACTGACATGTAGCAATTTAGGGCAATAAATAGTATTATTAAGACACATACATTGTGTTTGCTTAGAGGTCAGTTGTAAAGTTAGAGCTGTCAAGGAACAATGTGATATGTTTGAAATGGCCACTTAAGTATGATTAGTTAGAAAGATTGCTAAAATATAGTCATTTCATTTCAAGGCTCTAAATAAGCACTTCTCCCTTCTACAGTTCTTGGTAAACAGCAACTGCAAAGTAGCCTTGTGAGTGTGTAATCACATAAACTTGATTCATTAAATGTTACCAATGTTCCTTATTATTGACATTGCTACCATTGATATTTTCTGTGCATTTCTAGGAAGATTTAAGGATAGAAAAAGAAGTCATCACCCATGGGGAGTTACCATTTGCTTACTACTACTACTAGGACTTGGAGATATGATAAGCAAAATTTTAAAGATGGCTATTTAGGATTCCTGACCTCTGTTCTTCAAACATTCATCAAAGTATTCTTAAAATTTTTTTTGCAGATATAAAGTCCCAAAGCAGTTGACCTTAAGTATGAAGGTTAACCAGGTGGGTGTGACCCTAACAATGAGAACTTTAAAGAAAGATTTTGTCTTTGTTTTGTTTTTTTTTTTTTTTTTAATTTTTTATTGTGGGTTGTTCAAAACATTACAAATTTCTTGACATATCATATTCCACACTTTGATTCTAGTGGGTTATGAACTCCCACCTTCACCCCATACACAGATTGCAGATTCACATCAGTTACACATCCATTGATTTAAAAATTGCCATACTAGTGTCTGTTGTGCTCCGCTGCCTTTCCCATCATCCACCCTCCCCCGAAAGATTTTGTCTTTGAATAGAAGAGTGCATCAGAGAGATTAGAAAGCTAAGTAAGATTCAAAGTGCTATTATTAGATTTTTGAAGATGGAAGTTACCTTGTAATTAGGGATGGGTGTCCTCTAGAAGATGGGAAGTGCCTTTGGCTGATAGCCAGGAATTAGGAACCTCAGTCCTGCAACCACAGGAACAAATTCTTCCAGCCTTTTAAATGAGTTTGGATGTGGGTTGATTCCATATCTCCAAGAAAGAGCTCAGCCAAGGACACTTGCATTTCAGTGTGATAAATTCCCAAGTAGAGAACTTACACAAGTCAAAAGGAACTTCAATCAAGAGAAGTGTCAGATAATAAATGGGTGTAGTTTAAGCCAAGAGTTTTGTTGTACTTTTTGTTATATAACATATATATAATTTTGCTATTTTTAATTCTTTACGGAATTAATATTTTTTATTTATTATTAATATTTAGTCTGGTTACAGTAATGTAGCTATGAGGGTGTGTATCTAAAATGACAAAGCAAAAAATCAGTTTTTAAATGTCACTGGTTTGTGGTACTTGATGTTTGGATGGTTAAGATGTTCAGTTTTGGGGGTATTCAAAGTCTGATTAAAGTCATGATTGGGCTGGGGATGTGGCTCAAGCGGTAACGCGCTTGCCTGGCATGTGCGGGGCACTGGGTTCAATCCTCAGCACCACATAAAAATAAATAAAAGAAAGATGTTGTGTCCACCGAAAACTGAAAAATAAATATTAAAAATTTCTCTCTCTCCTCTCTTCTCTTCTCTCTCTCTCTCTCTCTCTCTCTCTCTCTCTCTTTAAAAAAAGTCATGATTACTTTTCCTCCCTAGGGTTCAAGAAAATTTATCACATACTTTTTCATTATTAGACACATATTGGCACCATACTTTTAGATTGAATCAAGAAAATATTTATATACCTAAAGTGGATATATGTTAGAGGAGTATTCTCTAATTGTTACATTATAGAAATTTTGGATTTAGCTCCAGTAACTATAAATAATGACATACAGCAAATGATGTTGAGCAATAAGAAAAAAATCAGATAATTTAGATATTGTAAAGTAATTGATTGAAAAAGAGACAATTGAAAAAATAGGGTATTTTTAAATGTTTGAAGGTGCTGATAATTATCTCATTTTAACTATAATGTATTAATTCAGAAATAAATTATGCAGTGGTAGAATAGTTTGATATTAAAGTATTATAGTAAGGTAGTACAGAATCAGGTATCATTCCCACACTGTAGATGAAAATGTGGGTGTAATATTTTAAAGGAAATTTAGTAACATTTGTTAAAATGTAAAATAATAATATTTGACTCCAAATTCTACTTTATGTATTCTTACATGTGCACAAAATTATTTATTTTTAAGCAAAGAGAATTTTGACAGTTTTGATGGTTTTAAGTGCAAATACATATATTTCTGTAATGGAATTATGTATAGTTTTCAGAATCAGTAGAGTTGTGCTGATATGGAAATATCATCAAGAACTATTTTAAAATGAAAATAACAAGGTTCAGAATAGTTAGTAGTTAGTATCACTTGTACTTTAAATGCATGCTTTCATACACACACACACACACACACACACACACACGTGCCGTGGATATATGTATATTCAAGTGGCACATACATATATCTATTTGTGTACAAATGAAGATATTAACTTCTATATAAGTTTTTGTTTCTCAGGGAAAACTTTATAAGGGATACAAGAAGACATTATTTTCAGTAAGTGTAACTTAGTATTTTGCAGCTGAAAGGAAGCTCACACTTTATAGATATTTTTTTGTTGTGTTTCAGATACCGCTTGAGCCACATCCCCAGCCCAATCATGACTTTAATTTTATAGAAGCTCAACTCATCTTGCAAAGTATTCCTTATTTCCTGGTGTGATTATCATCTCTTTTCCATTTTCTATATTTTACTTTTTTGCAGACACAGAAATAGACCAAATAACCAGTCAGGTGGGCAAAAGTCTAAAACGACTTAACAGAAAATTTAAATGAAAATATCACCATTCAAAAACTGGAGTTATATGTATTATTTATGTATATAATTGGAGTATAACAGCTATTTTCCCACAAGGCCACTGTAATTTTCAAACATATTTATTATTTTTCTTTATGCTCTTTAACAAAATAGGAGAAAGCATGTGTTAGTGAAAACTAAAAAAGTAATAGAAGAGTTTAATGAAAAAACATCTAAATTCTAGCTACATAGCTAATGTTCAATTTAAAAATTTTCTTTATTATATACTTAATTTTGAATTAACATATGCATTCCTAACACTTGCAAGTTATAATTGATTTTTAAGAATATCTATAAAATTGGTTCTGTCATTTAGTTTTGCTCTTTCTGAATAGTTTGTAGGTTTATTCCTTATCTGATGTTTTCTTAAATTACTAAATTTTCATCATATATTAACACTTTGAGTTGCATTTTGTGTAATCATATCAGCTTTTGGAATGCAATTTGAAAGTTTCATGCTGAGCTTTGTTTCTGAAGAAAGCAGAAAAAAATATTTTGTTGTGATGAGCATCATAATTATCTGAAATCACACAAGGCTCCCGATGGGCAAACGAGGTAGACACATGTATGCCTGAGGAGTTCTGCTCAGGTTGATAGGGTTTCCATCCAACCGAATGTCCTCTAGTGCCTTACGGATGTAAGTCAGATTTTTAACATTGCAGAAGGTATCTTCATGCATCTCCAGAATGTTATTATTCTAAAAAGATGAAAATAAATAATATATTGCATATCATTAGTATTGATTGATATCATAGTCTATTTTGCCTCACCTTTGTTTTTATTCTGTTCCTTCCCTCAGTAAAATGTACATATTATGCAGTTACTATATACAAGCACTTTCTGAGGAATGAGGATGCATCAAATAACAAAGGAGATATTCTCTTGTCCTCATGGAACTTATACTTTAAAAAGGATGCTATAAGTAGGTAAGAGCAAATTTTTAAATAAAATTTTTTTCCCAAAATGATGAGTACTATGAAAAAAGGTGAAAAATATATTCTCAGAAGTATCAATTGAACTGAGAATAGAATGACTAGAAGACATAGGAGGAACCAAGCAAAGGAAATTCAAGAGAATATGAAGTTCAAAATCCTGAGGAGGCAGCATGGAATGTTATTCTTAGCATTTTACCTTTAAGTCAGCTGGGCTGAAGGTAAGTAAAGGAATGGGAAATAAAATAACAGGAGGATGCTCAGGGCCCAGGACTGAGTTTTTAAAATAGTTTTATTGAATGTATTTCATATTATCTACACTTAAAATGTTCACTTGTATGATTTTTAATATATTCACAAAGTTTCACAACCACCACTTCAAACAAATTTAAAAACATTTTCAAGATTTAAAAAGAAATGTCGTGTGTGTGTGTGTGTATGTGTGTGTGTATGTGTAGATTTTAAAACGTGTTGCAGAAATACTTTGTCAAAAGTTTAGTAGATTTATAAGGATTTGTTGAATTCAAAATCTGTTGCCCAATTTGGGGAGCATTTTCATCTTAATATTAAATCCTCTGATCCACCAATATAGGCCCATTTATACTTGAATCTTTTTACTTCCAACAATGTATTATAATTTTAACATGACATGGCTTGTACTTCTTTTTTATATTTATTTTTACGTAGTTAAAATTGTGATTATTATAAACAAATGTTTCTTAATTTCACTTTCAGATTATTTATTGCTTCTCTACAGAAAAACAATTGATATTTTATGTTGATCTTATAACTTGCCACTCTACTGAACTCATTTTCTAGTTCAATTTTTATTGGATTCCTTAGGATTTTCTGTGTAAAAGATCATGTTATTCGAAAATATCAAAACTATTTCATTTCTAATATGAATGGCATTTTATTCATTTCTTGTATTTGTTTTTCTTCATTGGTCTAGCCCATGTTTGAGGTGCATGTTTAATAGAAGTAGAGAGATTAAACAGTATTTTAAACTTCTCTTGTTTTTAATCTTAGGGGGGATATATTCAGTATTTCTCCATCAAATATAATGTTAGCTGTGGATTTTTTTTACAGATGTTCTTTATTTAATTGAGGAAGTTCTATTCCTAGAAGCTTTTTAATGATTTTGTAATAAAAGGGTGCTGTAGTTTATCAAGTGGTTTTTATGCATACATTGAAATAATTATGTTCCTTTTATCCTTTATTCTATCAATATGGTATATTACATAGTTCCATTTTTAAAAACTGCTTTGCATTCTACTTAGTTTTGTTGTGTATTCATTTTTATCACTTGGTGGATTCTGTTTGTTATATATTACTGAGAATATTTGTATTATATTTATAAGGTATATTGGCCTATATTTTTCTTTTCCAATTATATCTTTGACTGGTTTTGTTGTTGAGGTAACTCTGGCCTCATAGAATCGGTCAGGAAATGTTCCTTCATTTTTTATAATTTGGAATAGTTTGTAAAATATTGGTATTAATTATTTAAGCACTTGATACAATTAATCAGAATCATATGTGATTGGACTTTTCTCAGAAAATCTTCACAAATAGCTGTGTTCATATATTTTGCTTTTTATATATTGATTCAGAATTGCTGTTTATTCTTTAGTCAATTCTGTGTCTTTTTTGAGTTTTTCCATTTTATTGATCCAATCTGTTGACATTTATAGTTGTTCATAGTATTTCCTATTACTCAATTTCTGTAAGATTGGTAGTAGTGTCTCCTTTTACATTCCTGACTTTATTAATTTGAGATATTTTTCTTGATAATTGTAGTTCAGCTATTAGATAGTACTGGTACTTGAAATTCAACCCAGAAAATGTTTTTGCCAGAAACTTCAGTTTTAATTACTATGCTTTCAGCTGACCAAACATTTCCAACTTTTAGTTTTGTTTATTTTCTCTATTATTTTTCTGTTCTTTATTTATTTCTGCTCTAATTCTTGTTATTTTTATCTTTTTTGACCAATTCCCTCTACTTATTCCAGATGGAAGAGCTGGTTTTTCTTAATAATCATTCAAGGCTAAACATTTTCCTTTATGCACTGCTTTAACTTCATTCCATAAGTTCTAATATGTTGTTTTTATGTTTTTATTTTCTCAGATATTTTCCTAACTTCCTGAGGATTTCTTTTTTGAAACATTGTTTAAGGAAAATATTATTTCATATCCAGATGTCTGAAATTCTCAAGTTATCTTTGAGATTGGTTTTTAATGTAACTCTTTGGAATCAGAAAATATTTTGTGTTATTTTTAATTCTTTTCAATTCATTGAGATTCATTTTGTGGTCTGTTAGTGTTTTATCCCAGGATATATTCCTTGTGCACATTAAAAGAATGCATATTATGGGGTGGAATGTTCTGTAAATGACTGTTAGTCAAATTGGTTTTTAGTGTTGCTTAAGTCTTCCATTTATTACTGATCTTCTAGATAGTTGGTCAGTCAAATTGATTTTTAGTGTTGCTTAAGTCTTCCATTTATTACTGATCTTCTAGATAGTTGGTCAGTCAAATTGGTTTTTAGTGTTGCTTAAGTCTTCCATTTATTACTAATCTTGCAGATAGTTGGTCTTTCCATTGTTGAAAGTAGAATATTGAAGTATCTATTTGTGTCTTCATTTCTGATAGATATCATTTGATGAATTTTAGGGTTCTTTTGCTAGGTGAATGTGTGATTCATCATACCTTCTTAGTGTATTAACCACTTTGTGTTATAATATATTTATGACTAATTATACAGATTTAGTGTCTGTTAGTTCTACTGTTCCTTTGATAGGTTATAGACATGTTGTAAGTAAAACTTATGCCTCACATTTAAGTTTTAATCATGTACCAGTAATTGCAATACTCACTTTATAAACTGTATCTTATTTAATCCACCCAGCCTTCCTACACAATATATTATCTCTATTTCAGATAAGAAAACTCAGAGGCAGAGAAGTTCAGATATTAGATAGTACTGGTACTTGAAATTCAACCCAGAAAATATGGTTTTGCCAGAAACTTCACTTTTAATTACTATGCTTTCAGCTGACCAAACATTTCCAAATGCATCAAAAGATAATTTTTATGAGTATTAAAAGTGCATGTAGATTGGACACAAGAGTAATCTAAATTAAAAACAGCTATATTCTTGATGTTGCTGAAGTAGTCTTTATAGTGAAATATTTTAAAATGTGTACTTTTACCTTTCAAAACGTCAGAATGTGAAAGTAAAGACTAGTAGTTTAAAACTTCATATCATCTTGTACATATAAGCACACTAAATTCAAATATAACATCAGAGATTTTGATTACTTTATAGGGTCATTATCATCTCAGACATTAGCAATAATATTTAATTAATAATTGGAAAATAAAATTCAAAATTTATTTTGAGGCTTCCCTTGAAAAATCATACATTTTATCACAAGGCAAGAACTCTTAATATATACAGAAATACACCTTTCAAGAGGGAAAGAAAGAAAGTACAGTCATCCAGAAACAGAATGAGGGCAAGAAAGAATATACATTAAATGATATTGATTATAGAAGAAAATGATTAGACAAACTGACAAAAGAGAAAAATATAGAAGACCAAAACAGATATGCACAAATACCCTAAAATGTGGAAAGATTATGTAAGTATATATGTATATGATATACAACACACATATATAATAGATAATATATATTAATAGAAAAAAAGAAAGAAATGGAAGTAAATATTTATAGAATCCATAGAGAAAAACACAAGAACTAGACACTTATTCTTGCATAGCAAAATTTCTTCTTGGAGTGGTTTATGCTTTTTGTGCTGAAAATTTAATATTGGACTATGACATTTATTTGAGCATTTAATGGATGTCTTCTCTGCACATTTATCCTATGGAACAGATGAAATTATGAAAGAGTATTGATTATACTGTAGAGTAAAAGTCATATGTGAATAAGAAATAATTTATTTTTAACCAAAAATGTTTCATTACAGCAAATTTTAATCACTTAGATGAAAATGAAGTATATTTAGAAACTATTAGATCATAATGTTTTGCAAGTGTGTTTTCACTCATCCCTTCAAAGATCAAATATAACATAATGGGAGTAAAAATAATCCAAACTTTTAATTATGTTAGTTAAAAATGAAAGAAAAGTACCAACTATTCTTTTTTATGCAGAGAAATGGATGTTTGTGATTTCTGAGTGTATGGGAATGCCTAAGGATTGAATTTAATATATTAAATTTAAAAGCTAAAATTCACATTTTCCTGAAAAATAGAAGTCAGCTTCAATTTTTCTTTCTCTCTTTTCTCTTCCATTTCTAATCCTTACACATTCCTTTGTTCAAGGTCAACCTCAGCAATGTAATGAGACCTTGTCTCAAAATTTAAAATAATAATAATAACAACAAAAGGCTGAGATTTAGCTCAGTGATAAAATATCCTTGGGTTCAAGCTTTAGTACTGGGGAAAAAAAAAAAAAAAGAGGAGGAGGAGAAGGAGGAGCAGCAGTAGGACCACATAGAAATCAAATGGGATAGATAGGGCCATGGATGTGTAAATACTTTGTGTTCAGATATAGGACACATTCATTTTTTTTTCTTCTAATTGTGCTCTCTAGGAAAAAAAAAAAAAAAAGGTAAAAAAAAAATCACCAGAGAGTGTCAACAGGCCATTCGGGACAGATTTTTGTGTCCTGACTTCCTTCTATTTGGTTTTCTCTATGGAGCTTTGAGGCTCACCTTACTGTCAGAAGCCTACCTGGAGATGAAGGGCTCGCAGGTTTTCTGGGAGTGGTAGAGGAATGTGGTCCAAGTTGTTATCAGTGAGGTAGAGATGGTGGAGTTCATACATATCCTGAAAACAGTCCAAACAAAGGGACTTAGTAGAAATTAATGGTGTCACAGCTGTACCCTTCATTCCCTCTCCAGGCAACTGTTGCTAAAATAGCATGTGCCTATTCAGGCCTTGTTAGCTGAGGTGGTAGGAGATCCAGTCAAATTTTAGAAAAATTGGCTGTGAGCAAAGATTTCTTTATGAAAATTGAGAGTGTTTCTCCATCTCTAGGAAGAACCTCTCTCTTGTCTGCTTTTCTCAATTTAAGCAAGGTAGTGATTCCCATGGAAGACATTCTACAGTGAGACTTTGAGACACAGCAAGACTTGTCTTGATTTTATAGGCATGGAGAAATAGCATTTCTCTCCAACACAAGCCCAAAACTTAGACAATATTTCATCTCCTCCAGCCAAACACCCTTGAAGAGCTGAGGCACCACCACACAGGCCAACTGATTTCAACTCTTATAGGAATAAAAAAGATATTGACAGCAAAAGAGATGGGAAGATAAAAGTTCTTCATATGAAACCTAAAGCCTACTTTAAATGCTTCTTGCTTGATCCCTTTCCTTCCAAGTCTATTGTTGCTAATATCAATAAATGTCAAAGTGGTTGGCAGTTCTGGGAGCTGCCTTATTTTGTTGTCACGCAGGACAAGTTCTCTCAGTTGAGGCAGCTTTCGGAATGCATCTTCATCAATCTCAGATATTAAATTTGATGTTAGATCAATCCTTTTTAAATCATCTAGATGAATAGAAAGAAGGAAGTAATCAAATTATCTTGAATATGATTTTCCTCAAGTAAAATATGAATGTAAAATTTCCCACATATTAAAAGTGTAAATATGAGCTGAGCATGGTGGTACAGGCATCTAATCCCAGCGGCTCCAGAGCCTGAGGCAGGAGAAGGTTTTCAAATTCAAAACCAGCCTTAGCATAAGTGAGGCTCTAAGCAACTCAGTGAGACCCCATCACTAAATAAAATACAAAATAGGGCTGGGGATGTAACTCAGTGATTAAGTGTCCCTGAGTTCAACCCCCAGCACCCGCCCCCCAAAATGTAAATGTGAATTTAATTAGTAATAGAGAGTTAAAAACATAATTATCTCTCTACTTATTTTATAAAACTTGTTTGTTTCCTCCAAACACAATGTGTATTCATGTGCTTATAAGAAATTTTGACTTTAGCAATGAGATTTACATGTTATATTTAAAATAACTTTTCTATCTCTTTACTCTTCAAAAACTTTTGATTTTACTACTAATGATGTTTTTTCTCAGTGAAGAGTGTCAGATATTCTAATAGCCAAAAATACAGGCATTGAAAAAAATCTTCAAGTGATTAAAATGTTTTACAACGACAAGTACAGAAATTCTTCTAAGTTGGCAACAACCGTAAAGTCAGAATTTTGGCTTGCATTCATCAATCACAAAACTACTATGCTTTAATGGAAGCTTTGCCAAAACCACCAAATCTTCGTAAATACACAGCCATGACATTTTATTCTTAATGTCACAATGAAATACATTCTAGCATATAAATATGATTACTCATGATTTATATTTAGTTGAAAATGGCTCACTTGAAAATATTAACAACTATATAGTTTTATAATAGCCATTAGTTATTCATTTTTATTATCATTATTAAAGTAATCTCTCAAATATTTAAATGGGAAAAATAATTGACTTATGAGTCATATTTTGGCATTCAACTTTCATTCTCCATGCCTACATTTTATATTATCAAAATCATCAGGGAAGTCTGAAAAGAAAAGAAGGACATTAATGCTGTCATCCATACTTAGGCTTGCAAAGTCATTTTTGTTGATCTTTTTAATTCTGTTAAAGCGAGAATAGAAATAGGCAGTCTTCCTGGGCAGTGGAGGAATAGCATCAAGTTCATGGTCATCACAGTACACTGTGGTGCTTATACAGGTACACAGAAGGCAGGTTGGAAAGTCTAAAAGGTAAAGGTAAATAATTATATGAAAGTAACTATTTTTTCCCCAATAACATGGTTAATTATATTTAGTAAACAAGATTAGAATCTCACACAGACCATTATGTTCCATTTTATATTTTCTCTCATAATTTTATATAAAGGGAATATTAAAGTCAAGTATATCAATTAAAGCTGTGCCCAACATATTTAAAGTATATTTTAAATTATGGAGGATTTGAAGAGTATTTTTTTAGGTAGTGGGCATTTGCCAAATATTTATTATTTATGAAATTAAATTTAAAGACCTCTCTTATAGAATACCAAAAGTCTTATTATCCACTTTTCTAACTGTGAGTAGGAAGTAATTATGTTCTAATTTTTTTTATTTCTTTAAATTATAGTGAATTTTATATTTATTAGAAATTCTATTTTCAAAATATAAAGATTATATTTTACAAAGTTAAAATCACATATAATATTTGTATTAGAGTTTGAATTCCATATTTAAGTATCCCGTTGAAACAAACGTGCTGCAAAAAAAGATATAATAATTAATATTTATTCATTCGATACATATTATTGAATCCTTTTTGTGTAAGTGGCACTGTTCTAGCTGGTGAAATAATGGTAAGCACAGACACAGTTCTATTTTATATCTGCTATGTGAGATGAATGTTAATAATACAAACAAGCAAGATTATAATGGCAATGAATGGGATGAAATGTATGAGCAAAATCTAGGATGATTTGCCCTAGTGGGGAGTAATGGAACGAGGTCTTGGAGGAATAATAATTGACTTGAAACCTGCAGGAAGAGAAGGAATTGGCTGTGCAGGAAGGGAGGGAAGAGTATGCCAGGCAGAGGAAGCATCATGTGCCAAGTCCTTCCACTTCGGAGAGACTGAAAAATGGTCCACGTAGGCACAGCTCAGAGAACAAGGGAATAGGTAGGCCATACTATGCAGGGGCCTGGTAGGTTGTGTTGCAGGTTTTATTCCTTATATTAAGGGTGATCAGGGGCATTATGCAAACTGATTTGCATGTTTAGAGATCATTCTACATGAAAGTGTGGTGGAAGACTGAAGCACAGCAGACGGGAGAGTGAGCAGAGTTGTATTCTACACAAAACATGATGGTAGCTTAGAAGAGTGACTATAAGGAAGGAAACAGACCCGAAGATGGCTAGGTTGTGTTATATCTCAACACACTGGCCAATATATGTCTGTCTGTCTCTCTCTGCCTATCTATCTATCTATCTATCTATCTCTATCTCTATTTCTATCTGTCTCTCTCACTGCCTCCCCTCCTCTACTGTTTGTTTAGTAGCTGTGTAGAGAAGGCCACACTTCTTAAGGAAATAGAGAAGCTGTGACAAGCGGGATGGATGAAACTCGGGGAAGGGCACTATATGGGGCCACCTGGACAGATGTTTGAAGTAAATGAAATCATCAAGAGTCTAAGGCTGCTGAGATGTCAGTGAGTTATGGACTGAGAATTGTTCTTGGATTAGCTGTTACAGTAGTTATGAGAGACTTTATAAAATATGTTGAGTGATGAGGTTGGAAAGAAGATGGTGGTTTATTCATGAGGACGTTGGAGGGAAGAGAAAAGTGACAGCAACTGTAGATAATGCTCTTGATGTTTGTGGTATAGGATAAGGAATGAGAGTAGATGTAAGAAATATTTGGACTTCTTTGGATGCAGGGAAGTGATTAAAGTGGTAGGGACTAGAAGGAAAAGTTCCCAAAAAGCAGAGGTAGAATATCAAAGGGATCCTGAGGGAGAAGTGGGAATGGTATTGAAAGTACAGTGGGAAGATCTCGCACATGTGGGAGGATAGACAGGTCCTCAGTTCTACTAGGAGTAGAGGGAGGTAGGCTATACAGATGTTGTCCTGGAGATTATAAATCATCAGACAGAAACCCCATGGAGCTTGAAACCTGCAAGAAGAGAAGGAATTGTAATCTTAAGGTAGAAAAACATCTTATAATAACCCCAGGAATTAAAAAAAAAATTTAACAATGGAAAGTCAGAACAAATTCCTTCAAGGGGGAGCTGTAAAATATTTGATAGTTGCTAATTTCTCCAATCAGTATACATTAACATTTTCCACTTACCACATTTTTTTAAAGTAAGGCATTTGATTTTTTTTTAATATTTCTTGGCCTTGCTAATTTATCAATAAATGCTGAGGGTAATTCATATATAGTCACACCTGTTATAACTTAATTTTGGTTTTTCCACTCACAGTTTCAGCCTATATGGATTTAAAATATTCCCACAGAAATTATTAATAGTAAAATATATTTAGATTTTTTAATGTTCTAAATATTCACTAGTATGTAGTGTTTCTGAAAATCTTCAAAGAGATCATGTACATAAAACACCTTAAGTGGCTGACATATAGGAAGCATTTGATAAATGGTCACTTTTTATATTACTTCTTAGTGAAGTAGTGTTTAGGAGTTAAAAACTCGTAGAGGCAGAGAGTAGTACAGTAGTTACCAGGGATTGATGGGAGAGGGGAGGGGAATGAGGAGCTTCTCAACAGCTGTAAGGTTTACTTAAATAGGATTAGTAAGTGTAGAGATACGCTGTGTGTCTAGTACCTGTACTTAACAGCACCATATTGTACACTGAGAAATTCATTAACAGTTAAAAAATGAATCTACCCCTCTATCAATAAAAGAATATTGTTAATAACTACTATTTGGTGGATATATCAGAGGCTACAACTCTATAAGGTCAATTCTATTACTTATTAAATCATTTTTAACTGAGAAAACTAAGGCATAAAAACACTGAATGCCTTGCTCAAAACTGGATATAGAACAAGTTGCAGGACTGGGGTTTAAATGCATGTAACCTGGACAAGACACTCTCAGTGCACTGCTTTGAATCTTGCCTTATGTCATTATGTTCTCCCCTCATTTCATCTCCCAGTGTACTTGGTACAGGCTTTTCTCAAAACACTTGTGAGACTTGATAACATTTATGTCTGTCTCCCTGTACTAGACAGACATATGTGTGAGAACAGTGGCCATTTAAAATTAATGTACAGAAACCCTCAACCCTTTCTCATTTTTTCCCACAGTCCCTCACTACAGAATTCTGTGTAAAATCTTTCTGGTGTGAGTTCTCTTGAGGAAAACCTTCTCATTAACTAAAAGTGAATGGTTCCACCTTCATGTCATTGTAAGTGGTGTCTCATGTTATGGAATGTTTCACTATCTTTTCCTCTCTCTTGTTTCCTAGAACTGAGTTGAGGAGAAAAAGCCTCTTTTCCAATAGTAAAGAATTCCAACAGTCTGGCTTTAAACACAGCATACCAAGAGCTAGGGGGCATGTGGCAAGTTACTATCCTGAGTTACCAGTTTCTTCAACACTAATGAAATAAGCAATGCCAGCATGTCCACAGAGGCAGTAATAGTCAAATGGGACAATATGAAGTGCTGAGCATCATGTGTGTTCAATTAGTGCAAAATGTTATTATTATAGTTTTTATCACCATCATCGTGACCTTATCACTCTGAACTGCATTGACTTTAATCTCAGAGTCATAGGTTTCATCTTGCTAACCCAGTACTCTTAGAAATGCATTCCACAACAAAGGTTTTCACTTATGATGCCAGACAAATATTTCCATCCCAAGTGTTTTGTTATTTGATCCTTTCCTTCAGGCTAGAGATGAATGATTAAAAAAAATATTTTATATTTGAATAGGAAATACATGTATAACTCTTGCTTCAAACTTGGTCTATCTCAGGCTTTGTCCTTGGGTCTTCCAGGCTCCCTGTTAAGTTGGATCTCGGCAGTTTTGATAGATGATAAAGTGTTCTCAATTATAATTCAGCATTGATATACCCAACCTTCATTGGTATGGGGGCCCAGAACCCCTGTGAACTCTGGCTCCTGTGGGGAAGAGCCATCAATCAGCCTAGGGGTGGATTCCTCCTCTCCTTCCTCCTCCTGGAACTCTCCTGGCTGTGGGGCTGGAGTAAGGAGCTCTTTGTTCCCAGATGGCATCACTGTGACTCTTTCAATCTGTGAAAAAGCAGAATTTCATCAGGTAACCAGTCATCCCTGATGCAGACTCAAATTTCAGATTTGTCCATCCTTGCCACCAGATGTCACTGGTGTCCTAGGGTTCAGTGCCTTGTGCCCAGCCATCTCCTTGGGAGAGCACATTTGGTTCTGCTAGTGTTGTTTTTAATTAATTTTGTTCCTTAAATTCTAGAAATTATTTCCAATACCTTTCTTTGTTTTTGTTCTTCATACTCTTTCTTTTCTTTTAATATCTTATGTTTGTTCATTGGTTTCATAGGTTTAAAAAACTCATTTCATTGTTTTCTAATAATACATAGCATTATGAGACTGAATTACTCTTGTGAATGATTCAGATTAATACAGAAGTGTGCAAAGTAAAATTCAAAAGTCCCACTTCATTCCTCAGCCCTAATTCTACTCTCTAGAAGATAATACCTAATAAGAATTTGAGATGTATTTTTCTCCTTTTAGACCTTTAGATGAATGATTTTTTAAAATCTATTTTATATTTGAATAGGAAATACATGTTAACTCTTGCTTCAAACTTAGTCTATCTCAAGGCTTTGTTCTTGGGTCTTCCAGGCTCCCTGTAATTCGATTCCTAGATTGAAATATTTTCTTCCTTACCAACAATTTATATTTCCTCTGATGACATTTTACTAAAAAACATCCTTTCTACTAAAATAAAATGTATAGTGACAAGAAAACTATATGATTTGATTGTGATATCTGTTTCTCACATTCCTTATATTATTTGAATAACAAGTACTACAAACAACATATTATTATATTAAACTTTACCTTTCTCAGATCTTTGACAATAGTCATCATATATAAAATTGCAAAAATATTTAGATTTTGTTCATATTACACTTGCTTTACTTCCTTCTTTACTGAAATATTTTATGTAATGAATTCTTGCTTGTAAGAATAGTGTTTGTTTTATCCATTCCTCTGTTGAAGGATGCCTAGGTTGTTTCCTTAGTTTGTCTGTTGTGAGTTGAACTGCTATAAACATTGATGTGGCTAATTCATGATAGTATGCTGATTTAAAGTCCTTTGGATATAAACCTAGAAGTAGGATAACTGGGTCAAATGGTGATTTCATTCTGTTACCTGAGGAAACTCTATACTGCTTTCCACAGTGGTTGCACCAATTTGCAGTTCCTCTAGCAATGCATGAGTGAACCTTTCTCCCCTCATCCTCGACATTTATTTATTATTTAATATTTATTGTTAGTTGTTATTCTTTATAACTGCCATTCTGACTGAATGAGATATAATTGCAGTGTAGTTCTTTTTTTTTTGTTAGCAGTGTAGTTCTAATTTGCACTTCTCCAATTACTGTAGATATTGAACATATTTTATATATTTTTGACCATTCATATTTCTTCTTCTGTGAAGTGTTTGTTCAGTTCCTTTGCCCATTTATTGATTGGGTTGTTTATTTTTCTGGTGTCAAGTTTTTAGCATCTCAACTCACAATAGCCAAGCTAAGGAAACAACTTGGATGTCCTTCAATGGATCAATGAACAAAGAAAATGTGGTACATATACCTGATGGAATATTACTTAGCCATAAAAAAGAATGAAATTATGGCATTTGCTGGTAAATGGATGGAACTGGGGAATATCATGAAATAAGTGAAATAAGTCAAGCCCATAAAACCAAAGGCAGAAATTTTTCTCTGATTTCTCAGTGCTAACCCAAAACAGGGGAAGTTGGGGAGGGGAATAATAGAAATAGATTGAACTGGACAGTGGGTAACAGAGGGAGAGGAGAGAGGAGGGGAATAGGAAGGACAGTAGAATTAATTGGTCATAACTTTCCTAACCTTGGTATTTGTATACACGGCAAGCATGTATATATACATTATGTATGACTACAAGTGTGGGAACCTAATAGAGTAAGTTATGCTTTATTTATGTATATGCTGCCAAAATACATTCTACTTTCAAGGATAATTTTTTTAAAAAGAATAGTGTTTGTATTTAGAATAAATCTTCACTTCCAGCAACACACACTTATCTTGATGTCTATTCCTTTGCCTTCTTAATACAAGTCTTCCACTATGAGGAGGTTGTAAACATGGACTGAGAATTTGCTGAAGACATTTGGGGTGACAATATCTAGCACTCATTCACTTTGTTCAGTCCATTGTCCTCATCCTATCCCCAGAAATCTCAGATTGTCCTTTGACCATGCCAACATATAAACTCTTGCTTCTTTGAATTTTATTTGCTTTCATTAAAAAGGCAATGCATATGTGTGTGTGTGTAAATTACTTTCTACAAAATAGTGCCAAAATAATGTGCAAACTATGACTTTCATTTGTAAGTAGTTACTTAATTAGATCAGATATTTTCTAATGACTGTAGATAACCATAAGATTTTTAGGAAAGTTATTATTTAGTATCATTGATGAAAGATTTGAATATGATATCACAAATAAAAGTAATACTTTTAAAGAAACACTAAACGTTCTTTTGTGCTCTCATAGAATCTATTTCAGCTTTCCCTACTCTGTATTGTAATGGTTCCACCAGTTTTATGCATATCTGAGTCTCTAAGTGGCAAACTCTTGAGGTGTCTTTATTCCTTGTACCTCTAGGCTGTAGCATAATAGGCAATCAACAAGTACTTACTGAGGTATATTTTTCAAAAGAATTTTCTTATCCAAGATATATTTAATTCAAAGCTCTATGCTTAACTTTAGAGATTTTGCTAAGAAGAAGCAATAAATGTGTGAATGCTTACTTTTAAACATTTAAAGCACAAAATCAAACCAAAAACAGACTATGCTGTATTTGATACTTTGGACACCATACATGAAGATAGTCTAAAACTTGGCCAGAAATCTCCAGCTGAGAAGACTGGGCGCTTCTCCTTAAACAGAGACACATGGTTTCCATCAGCAGGGTCAGGATGAGGCATATTCAGAAGGAATGGATTTGCAGAGAGACCAAAAGGAGGCTCCAGCAAGGGCGGAAATTGAGACAGATGTTTGATGGAGTGGAGGCAGCCTAAAGGGAGAAGCACATTCCAGACACGTTGCCTTGAATCTTTAACTTTGTAGGGAAAAACGTTTGCACATACTTTCTACAGATAATTGTTTTTCCACTGATTTGATGGGAAGCTGTAAGATCTCATTTGTCATCCAACATAATGAGGCTACACAGCTTTTGTGTTTATCAGAAACTGTTCTGTTCGTGCTTGCTTGAAAATAAAATGAACCTTTAAAACCAAGGAAAAAGAATGTGTTTTCAGTTCAGCAAAATTGCAGAACTGTAACCCCATTGTACTGTGCCCAGAGAGTCTTTTGCATTGCAGACACATTTATTCTTATTATGAATTAGAAGTTATTTGGGCTTCTGCCTTTTCCCCTTTTAACAATCTTCATACTGTGACATGAGTTGTGAAGCAATGCAAGCAAATCAAGCCAAGGAATCATGGCCACCTGTCTGTCCATGTGGCATATTTTTATGCTTACACAGTTTTATGCTGACACCTAAATCTGAACATAAAACCAATGACCAGAAAACATCTCCACGCTTTTTTTTTTTTGAAGCTACAATTGTGAATTCTCAAATATAAATAGAATTAACCCTCTTATATAAATTATCATGATTGGTTGAGCTTTTCCCTATCTTCTTTTCTTTACCTCTTTATTTTATTCTGAATTGCTTCAATGGAATTGACTTTTTAATCTATCCATTATATTTCTCTGAACTTTAGAAACATCATACAAAAAGGTTCTTACTACATATGACTTTAATATGCACTTGTAGATTAGACCTTGGTATCCTCAAGGTATGTTTGATTTGTTTGTGGTTTGCAGCAAATTGTTGTATTCTTAGTTTCTTGTTTACCAGGATTTAGAAATGTAATTCATGTCATGGGGTGGAATGTTTAGGAGCACATTATGTGTTCATGAAATAAGAAACTTATAGCCCAGAGAGAGTGACCTGGGCAAAGTGAGATCTCAGCAAATATAAGCCTAGTGAACTAATTGCCAAGAAAAGAAGTCCTCAGTCTCCCCACGCCCCCAACACCACCCACCTCCAGCTTTTGTACCATGCACAACTGGGACTCCACATAGGCAGCCCAATACTTCAGACCAATCTTCAGTAAAGGAAGCTGAAAAGACCTTGAAGAGTCTTAGACTGCATTTCTGTCCTCTAAAGAAACAAACTTTTTCACAGAAAATAATCCAGTTACATTTCTTGTATCATATTCTACCACGATTTGTATCAGCAATATTTATGTTCTTACCAATATTACTGAAAAGTATTTAAGAATTTCATTTTTTAAAGAATCAATGTTGTCTGTGGAAGAATCCCTATAAAAGTACTCAGCACCATTGTGACAATAATATTTAGAATTATTTTAGTTTAAAATAACTTGATCGGCTCCATTTATCCCTTAGCAAAAATCACATCTAAATCATCCACATAATCCTATCACTACCAGTAAGCCTACTTAATTTATTTGTCTTAATTTTAGAATGAAACTATGGAAAACTAACACATGCAGTAATAGCACCTCGGCCTGACTGCTTGTTCACCAAAGTCCCTGCAACATAGAATTCCTGTTGGACCATGTAGATCAAAGCCCTTTATTGACAATCAGCATTGTGTTTGAATTAATAAACCTCAATGTGGTTTATTTTATTAATTTTTTCATCTCAGCTGCTAATGTGCAGCTAGCTCAGTGCCCAATGAGGAGCTCAGTGAAATGTAATACGTATGTATGATAAAAAATATACTAAGAAGGAGTTCAAGTTAGCCAATTTGATTCCTACATTTATAAATATATAAGTGAATTTGTACATTATGGAAAGTTTGCCTGTCTTTAAATTATCTAATCAACCAGACAATGTCTATGGAAAGCTCTATGCTTAAGTAACTACCAATTGTCCATGTTACTTGTTGATACTATTTTCTAAATACTAATAGCATTATTTTTCTTTACATCATTTGCCAGTATCATCATAATCTAAATTGCCACCTTTCTTGCCTGGAATGCAGCAACAGTGACTTCCACGAAGGTAGGATATTCTCCCATGTAAATTGAGAATGAAGCTGTATAAAGACAAAACTGACCATGTCAACCCCACTGCAAATTGTTCAGTGCCTTTTTTTATTTTTCTTAATAATCACAAGTGACAATGACCTTGCATAACCACTATCACATCTTGGTTCAGAGGAAGGATACAGACTAAGTAAACTTGAATCTAGCCTAATCTCTGAGATGTTGGGCAAATTACTTTACATCCCTTGTTTTCATCAACAGAATATATTGAAGTCATGATAGTTTTGAGGGGAATCTTCTTGAGACATTGCAAATTTCCATTTGCTTTCTTCCCATTTATCACAGAAATTAGGTAAAGCTGAATACTGGAAGGTGAGAAAAGGTGTGGTAGAGAGAAAAAATATCCCAGAGGAGGCTAACCCAGTCCATCAGGTCCTGAATCTACCCAGCAGCTGACTGCAGAAACATGAGTGAGCTTAGTGCAACCCAGAAAACCAGAAGCACAAAAGAGCCTGAATAGCTGAACTATAGAAATGGGAACTAAGTAATTATTTTAAGACAATAAAATTTGGAATTATTTGTTATACAGTAAAATTTAATTGTTAAAGAATTTATATATACATATATATGTATATGTGTATACATATATATATATAATATATATATGATTATTTGATTAACATTTATCTCTCCAAGAAGGTAAATGTGATATTTTTTTTCTATTTCATCATTAAATTCTCAGCTCTTACCCCATTGTACCTATAATTATAGACTTCCTGATAAATACTGCCTTATCAGTACAGAAAATAATGTAATTTTTAATACGTTAAAAGGTTGCTTGTAATCAGAGTAAGAAAATATTATAACTAAAGGAACATGAAAGAGCAGGTGTGAAAATAGATTAGTTATGGCTCAGGTGTCTCCACATTTGCAGGTGAACCTTAATTGCAGGTACAAACATTGCATATGCAAAGGTGTGCTTTGACTTCCTTTGATAAAACTAGCTTTCAATCCACTGTGGATCCAACAATATTGATTAGGTTTGTTGCATATTCGAGGGGAAGATGGAACTATACATCTAGGACTAGAATCACTCCATTGTGCAACTCTAAGAGGCATCATTCATGTGGTTTTCTACATAAAGGGTGTTCCCCTGGACTGGTACAATGGACTTGTACAATATGCCTAAGGTAATGACCCCAACTTAGGACACCTTAGGAAGTACTAACTCCACACCCCATTAACAGTCCTTCCCTATATTTCCCTTTATTTTCTTCATATTCTCTTTGTCTTAACCATATTCCCATAATTTTGACTTTTTTAGTCAGAAATGGTAAACATTCTTTTAGTCTTTCCTTTGCTTGTATGTACAATTGGAAAATTAGACAATCCAGATAGCTCCTAAAGACAGAGAACGTTAAATCATGCATACACCAAAATCTTGTTAATTCTTTGATATTTGTTGATTAATGAGGATATAATTGTTCCTATCAGAGTAGGAAATGTACTGTATGTTTTAACGTAGATACACTTAAGATCAAGAATAGAGTCATCCCAACATCCCTAACCGAGAATCTGAAGTTAATTTAAGTTGTTCTTATGATGGAAAATTGATCTCAAAGTTACACCATGAAAGGAAATGACCCTTGCCAGGCCCATGGAAGCTATTTCTTAATGCTTGTCTCTAGGGCATTAGTGATGATAACACAGCTGAAGAAAGAAAAAGTAAACTGAAGAGAATGAAGCCTAGAAAAATTGGCTTATGGAAAAGTAGTTTGTTATTGTGGCCTGCACTGTCTGGAGGAAAGAAATATGAAATCTGTTGAACATGAACAATATACTAAGGATATCGTCTCTGACACAGAGAAGAAAGGCTTCACTGAAATTCATTCTGTACTCAGCCAAGTAAAATTCTACTAAATAATCCAGCTTTTCATATCTCTTCATTCTGAGAACAAGTGAAAACTGTCATATTTGGGAAATGCCTATTCACATGATAAATTCACAAGTAGACTTTACTGTTTGTACTTTATGATTAATATTATTCTTAGTTGTTACCATTCATAAACTAAAATCTTATCCAATCACAACTGATTGTGTGCATAGAATTCAGTTGCTAAACGTGAAGGCTAAAAACCCTACCAAGGCCATGTAGCCCTGGGGTATGGTACACTGGGCACTTGGTTGTTCCCTGAAATTGAAAAGTATGATAAAAATATGTTTTAATGTTGACCTAGGATGATTACAAAATACAATCAGAATCTATAATGACTTTATCTTATTTTTATGAGAAATGAATATTGTCTCAGAATGGAACTGCAGCTTGGTTCAATGTGATGGGTGAGAGAATTCCATTCCATCTTAGAATTCATCTAAATTACAGGTTCTGCTTTCTTTAAATCTAGGTTGGGTCATTTGGCGAGTTCTAGCCAACTGAATAAAACAGGAAATGATATGGCATATCTGGTCCAAGTCAGTGAAGAGCAAGTATACTTTTTCTACATTACTTCCCTTCCCTAAATCTGTTGGTGAAAGATACACTTAGACCATTGGACTTCAAGTGGACCCTGAAATCTGAAGTTGAAAATCGTCAAGTTACCATAAAAGGAGTTTGGATCTCTGAATGCCTACATGAAGCAAAGTAAAGCTGTTTTCTTTCCCTGGATAATCATGATTTAGAAAGATATAAAATTTTACTATGCTAAGTCACTGATATCTTGTAGTTATTACAGGTACTAATGTAACTTGTCTGAATATAGACACTTCTAATTTTTCTTTTCTTATCCATCTCCTAGTTACTTTGAAAGAATAATTTTTAATATTTTATGGGTTGAATTATGTAGTATATATCATTCACAGTAGAAAAAAACAAATGTACCTCTTTTTTTCTATATCTTCTCTGATTTCTCATCTATAAGTACTATTCTATGGTACTAGCTATTTGGAGTAGTATTTACTGAAATACTATACCACAAAGTTGAAGTCACCATTATTTTAATTCAGTTCTTAAATCTTATCACTTATGATTAATACTATTCTTAAGTTAAAATTAGTGAAGTTATAAAATAAATGTCTGCAAGTTGAATATAAAAATTAGTTAATAGATTTTGTTTATATCAAATAGAATAAAACCATTATAATATTTGATGTTGACTTGCTAGCATTATTATGTATTTAGGACACACAAATGATTTCTTTTTAGTTTTTTCTTCAATCTATCTCAATTTATGGATATTCTTCATAAATTTGTAAATATAAAATGTAATACTTCTTTGTATTAAATGTGGTGTTTGAGTGAAAAATTCAATTCAGAAATAATAGCTCACTTAAAGGTTTTATTTACTTATATCCTCAGTTTTGATCTCTTTGGGACCTCAGTAGTATGTGTGTGTGTGTGTGTGTGTGTGTGTGTGTGTATGCATGCACACATGTTTATTTTCTTATTCCTTTTCATTGTGTCAGAAAATGGCAATATTTCATTTCTAATTGCCCAGAACATTTTCAACTTCACTTTAATCCCAGATTTTTCAGCACTCCATTCGCCATCATCTCCTTAGGCTCTAGAAATTTAAAATGTTACTAACATCTTAGTTCTCTCAAAATATATTATCTATTTCTAATTGAATGTCTCCAAACAATATCAGTAGGGCACTTTGGCAAATGCTTTAGAAAAATTATCTAATAGTAGAGGTAGATCATGTTCCCTTTTCCACTTACTGCCCTTGTTCCTTAAGTAAGGATGCCAAGAGGACAATTTAGACAATTTATTGTAGGCTAAAATCAGTAACCTCATTAAGATAGGGGTAAAGGAAGGAGTCAGTCACAGTAATTGAAAACAAAAAGTTGGACTGAAAAACCAATGTATTTGGAAACTTCCAAACTTCAACTCTTATTTCTGATGGTGTAATTTAAAAACATTTTAAGTTTCAATCTTTCCAACTCTAACACAAAGCAAATTGTTCCTCCTGACATAGCCTTTACTGAGGCACAAAGTATAACAGAACAAAGAAAGGACTCTAGATAATAATCAGTCCTATGATACCATGAGGCAAAAGAAGGGTTATTTTACAAAGGGATCAGAATCTCTGCATTTATTGACTATTAGAAATTTTTGCAGTCATTAGCATGAAAGAAATCACCCTGCCAATGAGTGAAGATTGCTGAATAGTGATTTATTGGCCTTGACAACATTAGCCTCTGGGACCTTCCATTTTTCTTTATGGTACCTAAATTTACTGATCCCCTTCATTCTCTATTTTCTCTTTATATTTGTTTCAGATTCAATATAGTTATAGTGGAAGATTGTTTTTAAATATCCTAAATGCATTAGCCTTGATTTGTTTTCAGTTTTATGTCTTTAATCAGAGTTTTGTATCATAATTCCAAGGAGAATACATTTGAAAAAAATTCATCTACCCTTCTTACTATCTTTTAGATGCATGTTCCTTGTTTTTATTTTGTTGGGGTTTTGTTGTTGTTGTTTTGTTTTTGTGTGTGAAATGTGTCAAGGAATGGAGTATATACTATATATTTGCATGAATACCTTTTAACTCTTTATAACCCACCTTGAACATTAAAAGGGAGATTGGCATGATAGCACTGTCATTTTCTTTTTTGGTTCACCCTTCTGCATCTCTCATTGGCCATCTTGATATTACAAGCCAAAAATTATACAACCTGATAGATAAAAACAATCACCAAGCAATAATTTTTTTGAGTTATTTCAATACCTTTGTTAAGATGTGAATCTTAAACAACACAGGATAAGCCTCACTGTCTTTAGGAAACTCAAGGCAAGATTTACTAGAATTTGCCCTAGGGATGTAAGAAGAAGAATTTGGTGAATAAGGCAGATTCAATGGAAATTGCTCAGATTAATGGAGAACTAGGCAGGTCAATGGTAGTCCAATCCTGGACTAGAAATTAGACCAATGAGAAAATACATAGAAGAATTATCTTACTTAGATATATAAGAATTTCCTATTTTTTAATAACAAAACTTTTGGCACATTCTCAACTATACTTTCTCTAGAGAAGGTGCCACAAGACAACATCTAGAGTACTATATTAGAAGAACAAAGGTGTGGACCAAGAACACAAGAAAAAATGAAAGAAAGGAAGGCTCCTACCTAGCAAACAGTACTAGAAAAGTAAATGTCTGAATTAAGATGCATCTTAGGAATTTGTAAAAGTTCAGTTAAGTGACACTAAAGGAACAACTGAAGGAAATCAAACACAAACCTGGGTCTCATCCAGAAATATTCTGGTTTCAGTGTTCTAGGATGTGGATTAGGCCTTCAGATTCCTAAATGCTCTAAAAGTGATTCAAATATGTAGTCAAGGAAGAGAATAATTACAACAGAGAAGTGACTTATTCTACAGAATAGGATACAGGAGGGTAGAAATGCTAATTAAATGTTGGGACATAGAAATTCTTAGAAAAGACTTGATGAGAATGTGGTAGAGGGTTGTTTTTCACGAGTTCTCCCCAAGGCACTGACTTTAGAAATACCAACAGCATCTTTATTCAGGAATCTGCTGAGGTTGAATCCCTAACTGAAAAAAAAAAAAAAAGAAAACATGAAAAGTGGGATACATTTTTGGTACGTAGAATTCTTTAATTCCATCACAGGAGGCAAGTGTGAAAGCTATCATGTCCATCTAGAGAATGCTCTTGGCTGAAAGTTCTTGACCACGAGTCTGTCACCTTATAGAATACACACTCAATGCAGCTTCAGGTGCCAGAAACACAGGACTTGCCAGGAAATTGGGAATTCAAAGACTTGGGATATGCAGAAAGAAAAAGAATCTTCAGGTAAGATCTGGTGACTGGATTGTCACCATTATATATTTATACACTATTAGAAATCAGGAAGAATTCGAGTACTACTCTAAAAGAAGAGAAATAATGTTGTCGAATCAGGGTAGGGGGTTCCTAGTTCAGTGTTTTTCAATTAGGGTTGGTCAAAATGACCTGGAGCCCTTGGTAAATCACTGGTCACTGGGTACCATCTCTAGCTTCATTCCTTGGTCTGCAGTGGGACCTGAGTTTTGGCATTCCTAACTAGCTCTCAGGTAATGCAGGTCTTCCTGGTCAGGGATGACACTTAAAGAGCATTGCCTCTGTCCAAAACCCATACACTGAACAAACTTTGGGGAAGTCAAAATAAATGATGACACCGTGTTTAACCAAAGTTTGTTGAGTGTATGGGTTGTGGACAGAGGCAATGGATATGAACTGATCAACATCTGAATGAAGCTAAACCAAGATTTTTTGTGTGTGTCTTCTGATTTTCCTCAGGTTTCATAAAGTCTCTTCTTGGTTCTCTAGCTACACTATCTACTGGTTTCTGGGAATATAATTTTGCCTAAATGTAACTATTTTAGGGAATAAGGATTAATTTGTCCTTTATAATGATGAGGGTAGGGTTCATGTTATGGTAATATTGTGTGTATGGTTAAGGCTTCAAATACGAAGGTTATAGACAACTTGGTAATGAAGTAATACAATTTGTGTACCATTGAATGAACTATAACTGTAGGAATCTACTCAGATAGTAGTTACCAAAAGAATCCAGCTTGACCTAAGCACTAACTGAGATGCTCCAACTGAGATGAAGCAAAGGAATTGAGGAAGAGGAATTATATAGGCAAGAATTATATAAGGCAAGAAATCTAATTTTTTGCCCAAATCCTTTTAAACTTGTACAAAATTAGTATATTTGCAAGATGTATTAGTCTGTTTTTCATTGCTATAACAAAATACTTGAAGTTGAGTGATATTAAAGAAACAAGGTTTATTTAGTTCACAGTTTTGGAGGTTGAAAGTTCAAGAATAAGAGACCCTATATCCTTGATCTCTAGTGAGGTCCTAGAGGTTGAATGGTATTACACTGGGAGCATGTGCAAAAGAAAGAGATCACAAGGTGAGTCAAGAAGCCAGAGAGACCACAAAGGAACATATCCTGCATTTTTATAAAAATTTTCTTGTGACAACTAACCAAGGTCTCACAAGGACTGGATTAGTTCTTTCTAAGGGTAGCACCTTCAGTGATCTAACTATACTCCACTGGGCCTCACCTCTTTAAAGTCTCTCATGCATCTATCAACACAGGAACTCTTTTGAGGATATGCTCAAACCATGACAGGCATTAATCTGTAGTCTTTAGTCTGTCCTCAAAAACTTCATAGAGGTAGAGGTTAATTTATAAATCTGTGTTATCTTTACATTTCTGAAATTATAATGAAATATCGTTGTTTAGCATTTTATTTCATTGCAGAACTTCTCATAGGCTTTTTTTGTCTCGATATAATTGTATGTAGAACTTACACTGAAAGAATGAACTCTCAATCTTGTGGACAGAGAGGACTTTGAGATAGATTCATTGATGTGTTCTGTGATCTATTTCAAAATCTTCTGGAATCAAAATCTACATACTTAAGAATTGTGATGGTATGGGCCTGGGAACATGACTATCCTAAAAATGGTCTGATTTCCTCTTTTGGAAGGGAAAGCCCCTCTGGACTTAGTGGCTGAGCCTAATGCCTTGATAGAACATCGTCCTGGATAATACGGCGTCAAGGAAAAAGAATGACTATGCAGTTCATCTTCCTTTTTGGGCGAATTGCCTGCCTGCCAAGAACACATCCACCATGCATTAGATTTACTGGGACAGGTTTTGTCCTGAGACCCATGGTTGATCAGCACTTTCTCCCACTGATGGGAGTTTGATTTCTGGAGATTTCTATTGAGAATTCCGTACTAGCTTTGCACTTATGTCATATATTTCAAGCTAGCCTTTATCAATATTAAGGGGTATATTTTGAGATCTATTTGTCTGAGTTTCATTCATCTCAAACAATCCTGAAATGAGGCAAGGCATAGAGGAAGTATGTCTCTTAAAGTCTAACACTTATTTCCTAGAAAAACTTCAATATTATATGTATCTCTATGGGTCACAATATAAAACAGTATGCATTTTAATATGTGCCTGACTATTGGCTTCATGTTATGGTCCCAAATTTTATTTTTCCCTTGCTTTTCTTTCATAATTAATTTCCTTCTGTCATCTCATGATGTGATACAACATGTAATATATAATATAAAATATTATATTGTTGAGATATAATACAATATGGTATATAGTATTATACTTTCTCTGTCGTTTTATGTAATAAAACCATTGCATTCATATTTATATTTTTATCTTTATGTATTTGTGTATATATTACAGCATGTGTTTTTGCAAAGTGCCCTTAAATGCTATATTTAGAGAAGGTGGGAGATAAACACACAAGCAAAATTCTTCATGTCTCAGATTAGATATCATGTCCTTGACTAATGAGAGATGCAGGGACACAATTCCCCAGCATGCATATTTTGAGTGAACCCTTATAAACATTCCAATACATAATTATATCTTGCTTGTGTATGTGCATTTTACATGTATCATTTTCCCATTTCCTCCATTGTATTAAAACAAAGACTAATAGACTGAGAGTAGAGAATAATAAGAGGAACTTGATCTAATGAATCCACCCCAAATCCTGGCTCTCAGCAGGAGATTGCTAAGTTCTAAACTGAACCAAAACACAAAGGGAGGTTCTCTTTCATGGTGGCTAAAATCCCACCCCATCCATTAAGGCATTTGTCATCACCAGTGTGTAAGCTTCAGTGGCTGTTAATTGAATGATTCCACTGGAAAGTTACTTACATATTAAAGCAAGCCCTGTATTAAACAGCTAGCATTCTTATCTTATTTAATCCTTAAAAAGTGTGTTATAAATAGGAAGCCAAGGCTCAAAGTGGTTGTATGACTTGTCTGAGGTCACACAGTTGGTGTGATCCGCTTGGACCCACATTTACAGACTCTGATTCCAGAGCCTGTGTTACTCAGCACTGTGACAGAAGGTTTCCAACAAAGAAATGGATTACACCCCAATGCAATAGTTTTTCCTGCCATTCTGTACATTGTACACGTTAACAGTCTGCTTGCCCAGGCAAAGTCAGATTTAGAAATAAATATCTTCACCTACTTATTTAGTTGAGGACAACCATCATGCCAGTAAAATTCCTGACCAGTATGCTCAAGTCTTTAGCAGATAACATTAAATAAATAAATAAATAAATAAATAAGTACTTAAATAAATAAATTAGAGGTCTGTTTTCCATTGTATTTATTTATTATTGGGGGGAAAGTATTTGAAACCCTTTGTATCATTTGCAGGTTAACTTAAGTACAGACCAAGGTTTTTCTTAAAGTAATGAAATTTTGAATTTAACTGTTTTTCCAAGTTGTTTTACACAGTTGAATATTCAAGTCTTGAAACTATTCCTCATTGTTACCATTGTATCAACAATTGGCTTTGAAGCTGTTAAAAGGCTCTATACTATTCAGCCAAGGTTACTAAAGGTGTACTCTTATGAGTTTTGCATGTGGCAAGTAATTATGTTAAGCACATGGAATTCTGCTTTAAACATGAAAGTGGTGCTCAAATTTATTTGAGTGATCTATATTAGTGATTTAAAAGTATGTGGCCATGAACACCTGGCCATAAAAGTTGTATTTTATTTTCTATTTTATCTTGAAAATGGAAGAAAAGAAATGTGTTTGGCAAAGATTGTGCCCTATTTCTGACAAAACCACATAAAGTTTTGAATGACCATCTTACCTCTCAAATAGTCTGACAGCTAAAGGATCTTTCCATATTGTATCAATTAAAATCACTTGAAAATTGCTGTTTTCTGATTGCTAGAAAGTATATTGCATAATTTCAGAGAAAATAAATGTTAATATTGGAGACAGTTAAGAGATGTCAAAATTACAGGGAAAAAAAAAGACAGAAAAATAATGGAGGCTTTAAATGTCAAAGTCTGCTTTGGAGTGAAAAACAAATATATCTGGCCTAAATTTTACTGTGAAACTGACTAGCTGAATAATCTTGAATAAAGTTATGGTCCTCATTAATTCTTAATATTATTAATAATATTATAATAATATTATTTACTGGGTAAATAATATCTTCTTTCCAGGGTTAGTATGAATTCACTTATGATTATTTTCTCATAAATAACATATAATACAAATACAAAGAGGTCACTGAAAAAGTTTCCAGTGCCCCCCCCCCCCAATGGGCCTTCATTATTATATGCTCTTTGTTGCTTCATTTTTAAAGTTTTCAAATTGTTTAAAATAAAAATCAAATGTTTTTAAAACAGTCACATGGAAGGTCTATCAGAAAGCAACATTAAAAGTGCATCAACAGGGGCTGGGGATGTGTCTCAAGAAGTAGCCAGCTCGCCTGGCATGAGTGCGGCCAGGGTTCGAAACTCAGCACCACATCCAAAGATGTTGTGTCCGCTGAAAACTAAAAAAAAAAAATAAATATTAAAAAGTTCTCTCTCTCTCTCTCTCTCTCTCTCTCTCTCTCTCTCTCTCTCTCTCTCTCTCTCTCTCCCTCTCTCCCTCTCTCCCTCTCTCTTTAAAAAAAAAAGTGCATCAACAAAATTCTTTTCTCACTTCCTCCACAGTATCTTTAATGATGAGAGATTAGCTTTTATTTTTCACTGTATTCAGAAAACAATATTTAATACAGATTGATAAGAGTTAAAATTTCTCCCTCCATTACGAGGTGCCTGACATGCAAACCATATGTTTGATATGGTAAAATACACTGTACATATTGGCCGAAGTGAGATATAATTCTAAATAAAAGTACTATATAACCTTTGTCACCCAGGAAAAAATAGTAGAAATATTAGTAATTTAAGTACTTCTGTTCTTAAAGCATAGAGGTAAGTGTTGATATTGTGATTTAATTTTAATAAAGCTCTATATAAACTTATTACATTCATAAAGTCTCAAGTGAAGATCCTTTTTATATTTAATCATGTAAAATGAACTTTGGAATTATAAATATTCCAGAATTAGCTTGATTCTTCTTAAGCAATTTCTGGTATTACAGTGAACCAATAAGATCATTTTAGTGATACCACATTACAATGATCACAGGAAAAAAAGGGACCATTCCTCAGTTATTGGTTAGTACAATGGATTTCATTGAGTTCTCTCCCATTCTTAAAACTGTGTCAAATTCATTTGCATCCCTTTGAAGAAACTTACATAGCTTCATCATTTCCCAGTGGTATTTTTTTTCAAATGTAATTTTTTATAAGGATGGTTTTTTGCAATCTATTCACTTGTTCTCTTCATGAAGAAGAAAATCTGGCCTCAATTTGGAAGATCAGTGGAGGAGTATCAGCCAGAAAAACATCCCTCATGCAATAAATTTTCTATAGCAATTTTTTAATTAAAGTTCCTTTATATATCGTTATTGTTATTTACTTGTGAATGCATACCCTATCACATTCTAGGAAGTACATGGGTCAGTGATAAAATAACTTCTTAAGATAATGCTTCAAAAACTATTCATGAGAACTGAGGGTGGTAAGAAAACAAAAGTGGAGGACTTTGTATGAAACCAGGGAAGAATGAAGTAAAAATTGGGCTCCAGATTCCTGAAAAGGCAAGGTAAAATGACGAGCACAATTAGTTACATGATACAGAGCCCCCAAAACAAACACCCTCTACCTCTGCCGTTACCATGCATATAATTGAGTGCTCCATAGAGCTCCATAGTAAAACATTTCTTGATGTTTATTGAAGACATAGGAATACTATAGGTGAAATTAAGTAAAAGTAACTATATAAGTCTAGGTTAATGTAGTATGGTTGAGGAGAAGTTTCATTGTATGGAGTCAAGGAAATTGTTCTGGAGAAATGTTAGTGCACATCTCTCAGAAGAGCTCCATAAGTTTTAATATTGGCATTGAGCACACTGCTGGGAAAAGACACTACTCATGGGCACATCCAGTGGTTTTCTTAGTAAACAATTTGAAGCCCTCTCCAACCTAAGAGAAATAGACTATCAACATCCCATAAGCTAAACGAAGAAAATGGAATCAGCAGAGAATCTCCTCCATCAAAAGCACAATCTCAACTTAAACCACTCCAAGATTATTGACTTTTGAAAACTACGACTTTTGACAAACCCCTTAAGACAAATAGAAAAAAATAGTGTTTCCTTAGATCACTTAGGCCATTTTCCAGAACTTAAATGTATCTTGGAGAATGCCTATTCATAATTATTCATAATGAAGTAGTCTTAAGTCATTCCTTCTTACAATAATTAGATAGTAGTGTCAGTTATCTGAAAAGGTTACTTCTAGTTCATGTTATGCACACAGAGCAGAATGCTCTTCTTTCTCTTTTAGGACTGTTAGACTACATGGCATTCAGTTAAAACAAATTTTAAGTTAAAAGAGCAATTTGAAATGGTAGAAATTGGAGGGAGGATAATGCAGCCTTCATTACCCTTCTGGGAAATTATGCTCTGATATAAGAAGGCTGTATCACCATGACTGTATATCATTTATGTTTAATCTTAGTTAAGTTACTTAGTTCCTCTTATTTTAAATATCCTCATCTAAGGGAATAATGGCAGCACTTAATAATTTTATGTGATAAATAAATGAGATAACATGCGTACTGCCCAATAGTACCTACATAATAAGTGTTCACTCAGGATTGTTTGTCAGAAAGAAAGTTCATATTTTGATCATATCATCTGTAACCAATTCCTGCATACCAGTAAATGTATCCCCTGGGTAGTATACAGCACTATAATGGAATTGTTCAATGGATCCATGATTTATTAGAAATCATTAAGTAGTCTGCATACTATTGCTGCATACAATTTTTAAAGAATGTAATAATTCACTGGCTTTTCCTGCCAACTGATATGGTAATGAATATACCACTACCAACAGAAATCAGAAAACCTCAACTGAGATTCTAACAGTGGTTTTTGGGTGCTAATAGGTTTTTGTCCTATTGACTAGTTTAAATTACTGGGCTCTCAAACAACAAACTTGGAGCAGTATAATTAAAATTTGATTTTGAGAAAAAATTAAGTTATTACATGGTATATTAATTTTCTACTACTGCATAACAAATTGCTATAAATTCAGCAGTATATAACTATATCCATTTTTTAGCTCACAATTTCTGTGGGTCAGAAGTCTAGGGATGGCCTGTTCAGGATCTCAAAAGGCCCAAATTAAGTTGATGTCCATGGCTGGGATGATATGTAGAATTCTCTATCTTTCCTCCATCTCTAGAACTATGATCCAGATAGGATGGCTGCCTATCAATTTTATTCCATCATCTAAAAGCCTTCTACACTCCTTACCTTTTATCCTCAATCTATCCATCTCCAAAGCCAAAAATAATGTCTTTCTTTCTTGTGCTTTGGATTTTGTCCCTAATATCAGGTGCTTACTTAAAGGGCTCATGGGTATGTCAGGCCCACCTAGGTAATCTCTGTTTCTTAAATTCAACTCCAACATGAACATATCCTAATTACAAGTTGTAAATCTCAATGTTTCCATGATGCTAAGTACTATATAAGGAATAGACACACCATAGGATGTGCTTTCTTAAGGGACATCTTAGAATTCTGCCTATGATATATTTCAAAGGTCTTAAGGATTAATCAGCCAATGCCTAAACCAAAGGGCCTACCTACTACTTTGGCCTGAGATACCAAGTCTTATAATGTATAAGAAAAAAACTGGAATATATTTTAGAAGCATTTTTCAGTTATCCCATTAATTAACAATTTTAGCATATAAGGTTCATTTTCTATAGATAAGACAAATTCAAAGCTAAAATAGGCAGAAATATACCTTTGACATTAAGGATAAAAAACGAAACAATATGATAATCCCATCATTTCCCATATGCTTTATTTACCATGACTTTCTTCACCAACTGTACTGAATATCAGCATATTATCATATTGAGGCAGAAGTTTCATATAGGATCAAGAATATCTGAAACAAATAGCCTTAATTCCTAAAGATGAGATAAATTAGCTTTCCAGGAGACAGAAAAATGGATTTCTAAGACTAGATTCAAGAAATTCATGATAGGAATTCTAGGTTCTAGAATCTATCCATATGATTACATACATTGGCTTTATTTCACAATCTTCCATATGGAATTTTATACTAGCTCTTTGCCTCCAAAACTATATATATTAATACTTTGTCAATATATAAACTGGAGTTCTAAATTTTGTTCTGCAAGTCATTTATGTACCTCTGACATATTGCTTTACTATTGTTTTCCATAGGTAGTGGGTGAGAGGTTCAGCTGCTTTTTGCAAGATTTTTAAAATTCGAGTTTCCATTTAAAAACTTATGTATAGTTTTTTTAAAAAAATACATTATTTTTATTATAGTATTTGTATATTCATATCTAGTTCTAGATCATCATTTTTCTATCAACCAGTTTTCTGTTGATGAATTCACCATAAGGGATTAACTCAAGAATAAATAATATATTTTGTTTAGCCATAAGGAATTATTATGACGGTCTGGAGCCCTCAACTATTAAGAAAATTAAATTTTACTAGAGCTAGGATTTTCTAGGAAGAATTCTGTGCCAATTTAGGAATGTTTGTACAGGGTATGGGCTGGGGCATGTAATGATACACTGCCACATATTTAGTATCTTGCAGGAATTTGTTATTTCAGAATATGCAAATACCAAGGAAAAGGCCTATAATAATTTTCTTTGTATAGATATGTTTATTAGCTTCAATTTTTTGATAGCAACAAAAACAACAGTACCTCCTGAGAATATCTGAGGCTTGATGGGCAATAAAATTGATCTTGATAGCAAGGCAAGGAACGGGTTAAAAAGTTCTGAAGGCAAAGCTCAACTGCTCCCCAGTTTTGTCTAGAAAACTTTGGTCCCAAGCAGTATTTCTTCTATTGTGCATTTGGTCTACTGAAACAAACAAATAGAAACCTTGAATCCACTTCTCATCTCTATTCAAAGGATCCATTAATAGTAACCATCAAACAAACCGCTTTGAACTTATGGCTTACTTTTTCTATAGAATGGTAAATAAATTGGAAGTAAAATATATAATGTGGTCAATAAATGCATACATGCACTGAAGGGTTTTTTAGATGAATAATTATAAAGGAGCAAGACAGATGAGTTGACTACATTGACTCCACATTGATGCTTTAGGTTAGAGATATAGAAGCCACATAGAGAAAGATTGGTGGTAATGACCATAAATCTCATAAAGCACTTTGACATAAGAGAAACCAAATGGTGGAGTGAATTCAACAGGGAGAAGTATTAATAAATATTTAGGGGAAAAAAAGAATCACAATCAAATATACAGATGAAAATTGATCTGTTTTTGAACATAAAGTTTTATTAAGAAGAGGAAGCAGACCTAAGAGATAAAGGTTGGGTAGGAGCAATAATAATCAGAATGAAAGGAACAGAGAAGGAGGAAGAGAGAGAGAGAGAGAGAGAGAGAGAGAGAGAGAGAGAGGGAGAGAAAAGAAAAATAAGATGACTCATAAGATCATCATATTGTGAAAATCTGACTCACTTTACAAGGCAACATAAACAATGTTGAAAATCCGTATTATCTCTTTTATAAAGATAAATCTAAGTTCTGTGTAAGTTAAACATGATGATTTTTTAAAAAAAAATTTATCCCATGTTATTAAAAGTAATTTTTCTAAGATGTACACTTGAAAAACTGCCCACATTGTGTTATGATTCTTTAAAGGTGATGTAATTTCCCTAGTTGTTTAATGATAGTTTTTGTCAATGCTGTACATTAATCATACTGCAGGATTTCAAGGTCTGTTTGCTTTCTGATTCACAATAATTATCCTGTATCCTTCAGTTATGCAAAAAGTCCAGAATTTAATTATAACATGTCACATCAGATTTGCGCAGTGGGTTGCAGCCTAGCTAGTACCTACACGATCTGGGGGGAGATGGTCAGTCATTCAGAGAAGCACATACTCCTGGGAGGCAGTGTAGTTCCAAACCATGGGCCTTTCTCTGTTTTCTTTGTATTTTCTCATTTGTTTTAGTCTCACAACTTCTTTGCTCCAAACTCTCCTCTAAACTGCATGTATGTTATTGTAACCCTTCTTACCCTGGCTTACTATCTTTTCTTCCAATTTGTTCTATTATAATGTGACAGAAACTCCTTTTTAAAAAATATTTAGTGAGAAGATTTGAAGAAAAGAGAGTAAATTGCAAGAAACTAAGACTGTCCCAGTGCTAATCCTAAAAGAGTGAATATATTCTATGGAAAATATTCCTATGAAATTATTAAGATAAAACTTCTCCACTTAAAAATTAGCACAAATCTATTTGAAGAGAACAAACCTCAATCATCCCTCATTTGATGCCTTTACAAGTCTCAAGGGTGGGAACAACCAATTACCTCTACTTGATCAATAGGAAGGTGTTCATAATTGTATAAGGTTTCCAGGTCTTCCAAGGTGGCATCATAGGTTTCTGAGTCATAGTTGATGGGCTCTGGAGTTGGGGCAGGCACGGCAACATCAAAGATGACAAGTCCCAGAACAAGTCTTGCTAACATTTTCATCTTTTAAATTCTCCTAGTCATAAAATTTTAAAATGCATAAATATTTAATTGATAATAGCTTTGAAAGGGTTTGTACCAAATAGAAATGATAAATCAATGTCAGCATCAAGGAGCTCAAGCTGGTTGCTTTCTTTATATGGATAATTTATAAACAATTTATAAACATAATACATGAAATTGGATGGCTTTGGAGGACCACTGGTACCAGCTGTTCAAATTAATTCAAAAAATTACATTTTCACAATGGATTTTTCAATTGTAGAAAGACTGATTTTAAGATGTGGAGAAAATATGATGGAGAAAGATTGTAAGACACTTATTCACTAAATACTTTACAGTATCTCAGAGTTTTATCATTTCATAAGCATTAAGACTCCTCAACTCTGGTATATAGAGTTGATGATGAAGATAATGATGATGACTACAATGGTCACATCATTGACAGTTGAGGAAAATGAGGCAAAGTAGTCTATAGATATATAATGCAGAACTCTTTCTTATACATTTGAGTCTAAATCTTGTTCCAAAACAAAATAGTAAGAAAACTTTCACTTATTACTTCTCTGTTGATTCTGAGTATCTGAATACATAAATTAATACTTAATGCAATAGCTTTCAAATTGTTTTTAACTAAATGGAGCAGAAAATTATTTTTCCTGCCATCCTTAGAATTTTATTTAAATTCTTAGTAGCTATCAAAAGTTTTAATGTGGAATCAATTGGAATACATGTCTAAATGCAGTATTTGGCAACATTCCCTTAGAGAAGGATCTGCACACATATAGGATTAGAAAAACCTTTTTAAAATTCTTTGGTAAGCATCATTTTTATCTTCCATGATAACATGAATATTAAAATTTTTTTCAGGGGGGTTCAAGATTTAATAATTTTAATTATTTTAGTTCTGTATGTAGTCCTTTGAATGCATTTAGTTCAGGCTTCATTTTAAACATTTCAGTTGGGTCTATCAAAAATGTTACCTATGATCAATTAGTCAGCAGGCAAAGTATTGTAAAACTTTTTTCAGTCATGTCTTAGTTTTAAAGAGTTTGTATTTTGGATACACTTCTTGAGTTCACTGTAAGAACAGTGCATGTGGTGTTAGTACCATGCATGCGTATAAAAGGGAATTCATGATAAATATTACTTTCAAACTTGAATGCATTGGCAGACAAATTGACCTTCAGTGACTTGAAAGAAAGTCTTTATGAAGCAGGTTTAGGCAGAAGGATATGAAATTCCTCTGAGAATAAGAAGCAGTACAAGGAGCTCCTTTTTATCCCTCCTATACTTTCTTCAAATAATTTTTTTTTTTACTCACACTGGATAAACTCAGCCTCTATTTCACTGGCTTTCGCAGGATTGCAGATTTGGCACTGTTCAGTGATTACCAACAAAGTCCTACTTAATAAAACAGTATGATTTACAAATCTTCCATGAACTCTTCTCTAGTATTCAAGTAGGAAGCACTAATAGTAGCCACTAACCTGAAACAATATTTTCCTTGTATATTTCTGGCAACTTCCATTGTTCAAAGAAATCATGCACTTGCTGATATCATTTCATACTCTATGTGTAATTATAAAAGGTTGAATATCAGAGTTGACTTGCATTTCATCTGTCTCATAAAACTATCAGCAATAAGGCTATCTGGATGAATCTTAAATATATGAGGGGCATCTATTTGTTTATTTAAAAAACTACATTAATACTTAATGTAGTTTCTTAGTTGGAAATTTGAATTTGTTGTTCAATTTGAACCATTCCTGATTAATTTGAAAATCTATGCTTATTTAAAGATTTAGAATAGTTAGTTAAAAAATCATTCTAAATACATAATCCTATATGATCACAATAATATCTTCAACACCTGAATTATCATTGCTTTCTCCCTTTGCATAATATTTCAATCAATATTAATCAGTAGTGCCTGTATTTACTGCCAAAGGTTGTGGTCTATGTCAGAGCTCTTGACTTAAGGCATACATTGGAAACTACTACAATTTTATTGGCATCTGTTATGAGTATTAAGGTAAACAATTTTCCCCATGTTATTAATTCCTAACCTAATTCAGAATTTTGGATTTTCCAAGAATAATATAAATATAAAATCAACAGCAAAACAAAACCATATTCATTGGATACAGTTTACAAGGAGATATTAAAACAAGGTTAATTATTTTTTAAAGGTTGTTATAGCAAGGGGAAAAAGTCTCTAACCCAAGAAGAAAGCAAGTGTGAAAACTTACCTTTGGCTCCGACTTGGTGAAATGGCAGAGTGACTGAAGATGTAGAGCCAGTGGTATTTGCCCCTGACCAATGGATGTGAATTCTGGTCTGTGGGAGGTGGAATATAACACTCAACTTTCTGTTTGGAAAAGCTAACCTTGAGAAATCCTTCTCAGTCTTTAAAAACCCCAAATTAGTTTATAGTCACCCAAACTAAGCAGCAGAATCCAAATTACATAGTATATAAAGCTCCCAAAATTATGCTAATTAAGTTATAATGCTCATGTTTTACCTTTTAAAATTTAAGTGGAAAATGTTGGTTTTAATATGTCTCATCTATAACGAATTCAACAATTATGAAAGGAAGTTAATATATGTAGGGGTACTATAGATAAGCATTTCATAAATATTCTAATGAGAAATAATTTTCTTAAACCTTGCATGTTTTCAGTTACCTTCTTCACTTTTCATTAATGTTAGCTGAAATTCAGTAAATGTTACAAAAGCTTTACCTGTTTAATTTTGGGTATGTAAAAAAGATATCTAAATTAGTTTGATTGCCTGGAATGCTTTGATAGCAATGAACAATGAACCTTTTGCATAAAATTCTCAAAATATGTAGAAATAAAGGCTAAATATGATCCCAGTGTTCTGAGGGGAAAGAAAGGCTCTTTTTTTCTTCACTCTTTTATCTACCAGAGCCAAACAAATCAAATTACATAAAAAAAAAAAAAATGTCCTCTCTGAATTCAAGACTTGTTATAGGTTCTTGATACCTACTGTGGTTTGTGAAACTGAGTTTTATTACTGTTATGGAGAAGGAAAAATGTGTATTGCATTTCTATTGTTCACTTTTACACTGTTCTAGAGAAAAATGAAATCTGTATCATACATTCTGGTGTATTTTATATAAATGTAGGATTCAGGTGCTTAACTGTGCATCAGACTCATTCCCCCAGGACCACAATGAGTAAGTACATTGAATTTTGAAAGCAAGTTTGGTTCTGCACAAAGTGTTGGGTGAGAAAAAGTTGGTCTTCTGGATTCTCTCACTCCCTTTTCTACTTCTCTTTCAACTTTTCCTGTCCCTAAAACATCTGTATCCATCTGGTCTATTCTAACACTCCGATTCATTGATACCCATCAACGAATCCTGCTTCCAAATGATCAGTTCTCAGTGTGCATTAGTGTTTGGGGGACCAATTTTATTTAGAATGGAACCAGTGATAGTGAATAGGGTTTGAGGCTTACCAGACGTCTCAAAAATTAACGAGGAGGGCTGGGGATGTGGCTCAAGCGGTAGCGCACTCGCCTGGCATGTGTGCGGCCCGGGTTCGATCCTCAGCACCACATGCAAACAAAGATGTTGTGTCCGCCGATAACTAAAAAAATAAATAAATATTAAAACTCTCTCTCTGTGTTTCTCTTTCTCTCTCTCTCTCTCTCTCTCTCTCTCTCTCTCTCTCTCTCTCTCTCTCTCATTAAAAAAAAATTTAAAAAAAAAATTAACGAGGAAGTCCTGGAGGCAGGGACTTCATGCTGACATCTGTAAGTTCTCACCGCATCATACACAAGCCACTGTTACAAGCATTGCTGGAAAGAGCCCTAAATCTGTGTTCCTAAATTAGCCAGTTCTAATTAGCAACAAGCTCTCACATTGAGTTAAGTGACTTCATATATTATTGTTATTTTTCTCAACACATTCTTAAGCAGAATGAATATCACTATTCACAGATTGTAAAACTTAGACTCTGATTTTAAATGATCCAGAATTACATGTGACACAAAGTAAAAGCCAAGTTGGGTTTTCTGTGGGTTGAATCCCCATATGAGGGATATGGTGACTAATAAAAGTTCTGGTAGCTCTTGGCTTCTTGGATTCTATTTCAAGGCTTGTTTACCTGTCACTAGCTTTTAGGAGTTTTTAATAGTTTATAATAAAAACATCTAATAGAATATCCCTGAAATACCTGACACTTATTTTTCTTTCCTCTTTCACTAATCTAATTCTTTATGCATACTTTCAGGTGACAGAGAAGTGGGATATATGATATGTCCCATTTGCTTTTTGCAAGGCTCTGGTTTATCCTATAAAATTATTTCCAGAAATATTTCCTACTATCCTTTGTTGAATTTTTGGTGTTGAAATGATGTCTTCCTTAGGCTTTGAAACACTATCTACTAATGAAATTGAAGTCCCATTTTCATGTCAATTTAAAAGTCAAACTACTTGTCTTATTAAAAGATTGAAAACAAATTATAATTCCTCAAACTTTTGTTCTTCCAACTAAATAAGACTTTCACCTTTCTTTATGCAAAATGATAACTTCTTACATCATTTCTCTTAGTCTTACTTGGACTCTCTCCAACATTTTAAAATCTATTTTGAACTGGTAGAGCTCAAGGTTCCAACAATCTCATGAGGACCTAATCTCTACTGAGTGGTAAAGAAGGATTAATGACAAGTTCCAGCTTATTTTGTCCCTGGTAAATATCTTCCCTTCACATGATAATTTTCTTACTAGAGCCCAAGCATGGTTATCAAAACCCTCAGGGGATCAGTTATTATGACTAGTGATATTATCTATGGTTTTCTTGTCTCTTTTTATTTATTTTTTTCCTTTTAAGTTCCCAAATGTTTTACAAAATCTTTTGGTTGCACCTCTTTACAAAATTCCTGTAAAACTGTCCCATTTGCTGTAACAAAATTAATTGTAAACAGAACAGTTTTCTGCTAATGATTCTTCTTTCTCTTCTGGAGCAGGGATGAGCAAAGAGCAA